CAAGTATTAGTGGCAGGTAGTTATTAGTGTGTCAGAAACTCCCAACTTAACTACCATACTGCCATTATTTTTTAGTAGCAAGCCCTTAAAAATATCCAGATCTTCAGGATGACTTCTAATAGTAGTACTACAAGAATTTAATAGCAAAAATCTAGAGAGCAAATATTTGCCTTTCGGGCTTTTATGGATTTAACTCAATTGGCCTTCAACTGGTCACGCCACAACCTGCCACCCACAGCCTCCGATGGAAGAAATCTGCATTTAGTAACATAAATACTGGCTGTTTTATCTCATACCCATGTCAAGGTGAGCCTGTTGTATAAAGACTCATTTCCTTTAGCACCAGTATTTGTGTCAAGAGCTGCGAGAATGAAGTTCCTGGCCCTGCTTTTCCTGCTGTCAGGTAGGTGTGGGTGTCCTCATCCCGGCGCTGGTAACCCCGAACCTGACTCTAACCACGCTGTGTCTCTCCCCAGTGGGCACAGCCAGCGCCGACGTCTCGCTCCGGGCCGTGTGGCTGTTCCGCAAAATGATCAAGTGCACCCTGCCCCAAAGCCACCCACTGCTGGAATTCAACCACTACGGCTGCTACTGTGGCCTGGGGGGCAGCGGCACTCCAGTGGATGAGCTCGACAGGTTTATAAGACTGCTTTTACAAACCTCTTTCCTTGCTTGTACTTTTCTGCTTCAGCTTCATCTCACCTGGCTCTGCCTATGAATGTTAACAAAACTCTCTGGCTGCTGTGAAGGAAGCTTTCTTTGACAGATGGATTCAGGGGAAAAAGAATCTGATGCCTAAGATAAAATATAATTACAGTAGCTCTTCTCTTCTGTGGCAGCACAGTGTGATCATTCCAGCATTTTTTTGCAACAGTGCTGGGCCAGCAGCACGGATGCAACTCTGCACACTCTGCCTGATGCTTGACCATCAACACATACAGGCTGGGCTGCAAAATGCTAGGAAACGGCATGGGCAACTTAGAGACACACAAATCTGGCAGCCAAGCCTTGGATTGTGTTGGCTGAGAGCTTGTCAGCTACCAGGCACTGAGGGGAAGTGTAAACACTGGCTTTTGCTTTTCTGGTGCTTAACAGACAACTGTGAAGATGCTCCCATAAGTACATATGTACTTGGACTATGAGCTGGCACAACTGTATCCCTTTGAGGTCCTTTGTGTCTGCCCTCCTATCGCTGGCTATGTTTTTTTTTTATTGTCAAGAGCCTTGTCAAAGCAAATCTAACATATTTGTGTGTCTTACAGGTCTGTTGAACCTGTGATTCTGGTATTTTCTAACCTTTTTCTCCTTGTTTCCCAGGTGCTGCCAAGTACATGATAACTGCTACAAACAGGCAATGAAAATGGAATCCTGCAAATTCCTCCTGGACAACCCCTACACTAAGCTGTATGACTTCAGCTGCTCTGATAAGCAGATCACGTGTAGCAGTATGTCCATTTCCACTTCACTCCAGATGTTCTCCAGCCTCTCTTAGGACAGAGCAGGGCTGTGTTACACTCACACCGCTGGGGCAGGAAGGCACAGTGCAAGTTCTTGCCAGGGGACCTGGTTGTCAGAAAGAGGGCACCTCACACAGGCACTGGAATGAGTATTCTCTATATAATCCACAATGTAAGGTTTGTGAAGATATACGGTACAGCAGAATACAGAGAAGCCTGTCTTGTCTTCAGGGGATTGAGTACTTTTCTGGGAGGCCTTCTAATGGCAGTATCCAAGACATCAGCACGTTAACTTGGTATTGTTTCTGCCAGAAACCTCTGATGAATAGTGGAGACTTTACAGGGCTCTGAACGGAGGTAAAGAGCAGAGAGGTTGGCAAATAGGGCTGCAGTGAAGGGGCAAAGGGGCAAGGAGAGAGATGTTTGGCAGAACACACAGCTTTGGGGGCAGTGGGTTAGTGTGCACCCCCAGAACGATGGCAGCAGTGAAACGGGTGCACCGTGACAACAGAAATGCCAGCCCGAGCCACTGCAGCGCCTGGCGAAGGAGTCGCGGGCTCTGACCGCTCCTCTCTCTCCTCCAGGCGAGAACAACGAGTGCGCCATGTTCATATGCAACTGCGACCGGACCGCTGCCATGTGCTTCGCCAAGGAGCCCTACAACCCCGACCACAAGAACCTAGACACCGACAAATACTGCAAATAATCGCCTTCACATGCCTCAGGGCGGCCGCAGGGCCAAATAAACAAATGAATAACCTAAACCGACACTCCTAGCAGCGGCTCACCACCGCGCTGAGGGGACGGGGCGGTGTGAGGGGAGGGAGGCCCCGCCCCTGCCCTGTGCGGCGCCTCCGCGCTCGCTGATTGGCCCTTGGAGGCGGCGGGGGCGGGGCGCACCTGCGCGCGTGCCCCGCCCCTCCCCTCAGGTACCTGCGGGGGCTGCTGAGGGGCGGCGGCGGCTTCCCGCCCTCCCCGTGCCGCGGCCAATCGGGGCGAGCGTCCCTGCCCGCCCTCACCTCGCCGGGGCCCCTCAGCGCGCCCTTCCCGGCCGCCCTCACCCTCCCTGCCCGCCCTCACCTCGCCGGGGCCCCTCAGCGCGCCCTTCCCGGCCGCCCTCACCTACCCGGGACCCCTCAGCGCGCCCTTCCCGGCCGCCCTCACCTCCCCGGGGCCCCTCAGCGCGCCCTTCCCGGCCGCCCTCACCCTCCCAGGACTCCTCAGGGCGCCCTTCAAGCCTTCCCTCAGCCGCCCTCGCCCCGGGCTGTCCCTCTTGCCCGGGGCATCGCTGTGTGAGGGTCTTGAGTTTGGTGCTCCTTTCTCCTGAGGGTCTCCTGTGTGCTTCCTGTTCCCAGTCAGGAGCTGCGGAGGAGGTAATGTCAGCCTGGAAGGCAGGCAGCCCCTCTGAGGGACGAGTATCTGCCCCACTATCCCAGCCCTGCCAAGGTCCTGTGGCAAAGCTGCCCCCCACCCTTGGTACCGGTTTTGCTGGCAGATGTTTTTGGAGTGAACTCCTGGGGGAGGTCTACACACACACCCTGCTTGTTGACAGGGCATGACGAGGGCTCCGGTTTATCATCAGAATGAACTGTTCCCAAACATGGAGCAGACTCCAAGGATGTGAGAGTGCTCTGGGAAATGAGAAACAAATGGGGAAGGAAGAAGCTGGCTTGGTATATTATTGGAAGGTATTTGCAATGTCTTCCTTCTGAAATGCATCTTTGACAGCATTTGAATGATATTGAGAAAGGATAGAGAATTGCATTTAGTTCTTCTTTTCCTTGAAAAGGGGAGGGGATTGTGTCACAGCCGGACATTCCACTTTATGGTAGATTGAGTCCTGTTTTGTTGCTTATTTTTCCTCAGGTGTTTGTATATGTGAATTTTCCAGAAACTTTGAGTGCATGGAGCCCTCCATAGAAATCTTGAGGATCCTGGATGTGATCCTATCATATGGCCAAAATGAATCATTCATAGGGCTAGAAGAGCAAGATGAGGTCTCTCTCACTCACTAGCTCAGATTCCCTGAAATTATTGTTTGTAGAACAGTAAAGCTCCTAAGTAAATGTTATTAAAATCCCTTTGTGATAAACCTCATTGTAGAGAAAGAAAGTAAAATATCATCACTATCTGGAAGGAACACTGCAGTTTTGAGCTGTATTATCGTAAGTAGGGAACATTGCTGGGGTGCATTGGAAGCATTTCAGAAACAGTATTAATTTTGCTTGCAACAGGACTATAGATTTAAAGTGAGCAGTATATACTCTGAGGTGAGCGAATACTTCTGGCATTCAGCATTTGGAGCATGCTAGCATTCTGTAGATAAACCCCATAGATAGATAAATTGATTCCATATCTGTCTTACTCCATACAGATTTTATAAGCCTGCACTTACATTTGGTCCCTTCTAATTTCCATGCTGCTTTGATGGTGTGGAAGACCCACCATTGAATCCAAACATTCCCCATCCATAGGGAGCCTTCCCACATAATGCAGAGTTGTCAGGCCCTAATGAAGGGCACAGGTGGGGAGGCTGAAGGGGGTGTGCAAAGCTGCTCATTAGGGCTTTGAGGAACATTGTGGGAAGTGTAGGAGCAGGGCTAGTGACTGCTTGAACTGCCGCGGTAGGGGATTTCAAGGAGTGCCTGAAGATCTACCATGCTGGCCTGTACTTCTGTTCCAAACCAGAAAGGGATTGGCTGGAACACAAGGTATCCCTGTGCTCAGCGAGGAGCTCTGACACCCCCAGGATGCTGGAGGGAGAGCAGCTCCGTGGACTCACTGCAGAAGTGAAGTCTCAGTCTCTTTTCTCTATTGTTTTTCTCTATGCCAAGGTTTTTCACTCTCTGCAGGAAGAGCTGAATTACTTTACATGGACATTGCACAGATGAAAAAGAGTACTCCAGCTGAGGTGAGACATGCAGAAAGCAAACAATTCTGCTGATGGAAATGATGTGTGAGTTATTGTTTGGGCCTGGAACCCATTCGAGACACACTGTTGCTTGTCCCCTTCAGGCTCAGCTTCTCTTTTTCTCTGCCATTTTCTAGTTAGTAGTGCAGAAGGGAAGAACTCCACTGGGGTGCCTTTCCTTGGTGGGAAGGAAGATGACAAGGAGCTGCACACAGAATTGCAGGAACAGTCTGGAACAGTGGTTTTAAAGCCCATTTGGCTCGACTTTGCTGTTTCCCTGTCTGCTGCAAAGGCTGAGAAAGTGTGACATCCAAGGCAGTCACAGGGCTTCGAAGAAGCACACTCTAGGTGTTAGATTTAGTCACCTTCACTCCACTCTCCATTGAACCCCCCAAGTTCTCCATGCCCAGGGTTTTGGGTAATTTTCCAGAAGTAATGAACAAGCAGGTGTGTCAATTGGAGCAATCTGACTGTAAGGTGTGGGAGGCTGCACTTACACCACAGGCACCAAACCTCTGGGACATCTGCATCTGTGCTGCCCTCACTGGAGCTCAGTATGTGAAATACCTTCCTCAGGCTGCTGGACTCTATTACAGTTTGCTCTGAGAATTTGCCCAGAAACAAAGACAAGATTTGCCAAATAGGAAGTAACTTTTATTTGCTTTGTGTAACTCCAACCCCACTTTAAGAGGAGCAGAAGAAAAATCCATTGTAAGATACTCTCAGCTCCTCTATCCAAGCTTCAGGAGGAACAGCTGTAAGAAAAAGAAAAGAGCAAAAGCTGTTGATTCAGCTAATTTCATGTCATGGCTTTTGGTGTAGGAATTTTAGGCTCTCTCAGGCATTTCTCATGTGAGTAAACTTAATGTTTAAGTTAAGGTGAATATGTTAAGAAGTGCTCTGATCCTGTTCTACAAGAGGTCAATTTTAGTAGTGCTGGATCAACTTAGCAGAAAAGAGAAGGAACTTCTTCATCTCAGCCTCATTGTTGTTGTACATATGCTCATTACCATATAGTAATAAACCAGGCACAGGAAATTTACTGTTATGTTCATTTATTCTAAATCATTGTTCTGGTGGCTTAAAAGTACCAATCAATCGGGAATTGGAGTAATGACTCATCTGAGACTGATCCTGAAGAGACATCCTGACTCCTCTCCCACAGGCTCAGCTGCAGAACTGGAGGAGGCAGGGGTAGACGTGGGAGGTTTAGTTACCTGTCACAGAACTTGTTCTAAGATTTAGACTGCTTGGCAATGCTCCCACCTTCTCAAAATGCTGGCTCTACTGGCACTGCACTGGCAGCCTCTGGTTTGGCACACCAATGTCGTCTAAGTTTCAAGGAGGAGGAGAAGATGATGTGGATAGCGAGAACCTCAGCCCCAGCTCCTCTGCTAAGGAGGCATCAGCATCTTTTCTTGCAGGAAAAGCCCCTACATGAAAACATGGTGTATGTGGAGATTCTGCTGTGCTTTAGGCAGGATTTGTGCAATAGCTTTGGTTGGTGGGATAGCTGTACTGCAGACATGACAGCTAAAGATGGAGAGAGATCTGTGAGCTTTGCTCACTGCCAAGCAGCAGAAACCTGAGTCATTGGAAAGTGGAGTCACCATGCAACGAGAGCAGAATGCAGGTGGGAGTCCTGAACTGCTCTTGCTTGGCTCCAAAGTGAAGCTGTCTCTCCTCTAACACAATACAGCCAAATCTTGAAATGTCTTATGCATCTTAATGCCCTCTACCTTCTGCAGAAATTGGATGCCTTATGTATGCCTTAGATTCTGTGCTTTATTTGCTCTCTCCTGGCATGGATTTGAATCGACAACAAAGCAAAAATAAACTTTGCATCCTGTGGTCAGTTGTCCTTGCTTTGCTACTTGACCTTTTAGCAGATGACTCTGGCATCCTTGTTTCCAACTGCTTGTTACAGTTCTTGTCAAAATATTAGTCCAGGACATGCTACTTGGAGTAGGTGGGGGCACTTGGAAAACTCCAACAATTAAATCCTTCAGAGCTAAAAGAGGGGGAGTGGTAGTTTCATGAAGAAGGCCAGGTCAAAAAGTTAGTGTTCTAGTTTGTGCCAGGTTCTGTATTTTACTCTGGAAACAGTTTGATAGAGCTTGCAATACCATCCTAAGGATTAACAAAAAATCACTACCCAGTACTGATGGATTTCCTGTTAGGAGTGTGGAAATTGTATCTTTCAACAGAGATTATCTCCTGAGGGAGACCTATTGTACAGATTTAATTGTATTTCTCTCTTAATTCATCAGCTGCTAGTAATTACAACCTGCTTTTTTGCAATGGAAAACCAAAGAATCTAAACTGGCTATTGAGAATGTACTTAAATCATGGGAGGGAGAGAAAATTACAATGCAAATATTCTCAAATTTCTAAACAATTTTAGTTGCAGCTATTAGTTAATTAAATAACATCTTCAAAAATGCATTCTGGAAAATGTAGTGGCCTCACTGAAAGTAGTGCTGGTCAGATTAGCTTCAAGTAATTCCTCTGGCATTTCAACAATATTTCATTTTTAAAGGGGTTGGATAGGAAGCAGTTTACCCTGTCAAACAACAGTTGAGAGAAATGCTGATTTCCTCTCCTTGCTGGAACATGTCAGCCTTATAGTTTGTGCTTCCAAATAATCTGTTACAAAGCAGTACTCTTGTTCAGCTTCTATTTTGAACCTTCTTTTCTTGAAAGTGACCACTGCAGTTCCTCTTGCCTCCTTTTCCTCTTTGCACACTCTACAGTATCCCACCAGTGACACTGGATCCTCCAGCAGTCCCACATCGCCCTCCTGTGCTACAGCCTCAAATTACCTGGTCAAAATCCCTGTCCCCCCCTTCTCCTAGGATAATTATAAGAAAGGTATTTTTATCTCAGACATGGTAGTCCAATTATCCTGTCCCACTGAATGAAAAGGCACTGTTTACAACGGCAAGGGAAGGCAGAAAAGTACTTTTTTTTCATCCTCATTCGGTTTCCCGAGACGTGGAGATGGTTTCAGTGGAGAGAACTGGTGAGGCTGACACGTGTGAGGCTTGCTGCCCTCTCCTGGTGCCCTCAGCGGCTGTGCACTGCGTCTCACAGCTGCCTCTTGGATTGGAGTTTTCCCCTGTCTGAGATCAGTCCTGCAGTTGAGGATAAAGAAGCTTTATCGACTGAATTGATGATTTTAAACAGCAGTGTTTGATTGGGATTAGCTGGACCAATTCAATCAGGAACAGCTTTTGAATTTTCAGTTGCAAAGGCAACGGTTGTAATCAGGTTCTCTGGAACTACAGGTGATCCCCTGTAGTTTCCTGATAGTAACAAATAGATTTGAATTCTACACTACTGAGTCTTCTGGATACTCCTACCCAATTCCCTGGGAGTGCTAGCACTTACTATGTTTTTTGTTTATGATGATGGGAAACAGTATCATGGCCCATCAGAGCAGACCAATTACAGATTAAAATTTACATCCACTTTTTGGTGCAGTGAGAACATCTCAGTCTCAGCATTTGCTAGGAACCCATATTCTTACTCTGAAAGGTGACTGACCAGGGAAGGTACTCACCTTGTAAAAATAACTTTAATCCTGATAGCTACTGAAGCTGAGCTGGTTGGGTCACGTGCAAACAATCAAAGGCAGCAGCTCTCCACAGCGGGAATTCAGCTTTAAGGATGCAAAGTGATCTAACCTGGTGGGCCCAATGTTAAGGACTGCAATTGGCAGCTTCTTTTCCCGAGCAGCAAGAGCAAACCTGTAACCAGAGTACACCTGCAAAACAAAATTACAGGCAAATTAGGCAAAAGAAGAGTTAGAGAAATAAAATAAAATAGTTGTTGTTGGCAATGGGAAAAGGGCTGTACATACATATTACGTTAGACAGCTGTACTGACCTCTGGTAGGAGTGCAGAGAATAGAACAGTTTTTAACCTCTCTCAGTGAAGGATTTGCAGTTTCACAGGAACTGAAACTTCAGAGCAGATTGAAGGGAAATGTCCTTGTCTTTTAGTAAATCTCTGCAGCAGTTTTTATTAGTTATCACAGGTACTTAAATGCTGCACTTTGATGGTTCCTGCATGGCCCAGCTTAGGTAGTACAAGAACAAACTTAAGGCATTTCAATCATTCCTGTACAGAGGATTATAAGCTTAGGAAGTGCAAGCTCAAGGAATTTGTATCCAGTATCCTGAAGCCAAGAGAATCACAATCAGGCAGCCTTGGTTTTTTCTCCTTCTGGGAGGTGTTAAGAGTAAGGGTTTTTTTATGTAATAGAACTTGTTCCTAGAAAAAATTATCTTACATAAACACCATTACAAAAGCTTCTATGGGTTTAGAAACCCCTGTTGTTTAGCTACCTTACCTTATAGATAAGAGGCTAGTGGAGAAAACACATGTGATACAAAGGACAATACCAAGCAGCAGAGATATTTCAGCTCTCTTATTGAGAAATGAATAAAGAATGAGAGGTCCTAAAACCTGGTATTTTACACAGTGTGCCATGAGGCCTAAAAAGCTAGCAAAGGCTAAAAATTTCAGGTAAAAAAATGTGAGGAATTAATTGTCTCATGTATCTTGTCTTTATGGACAATTGTGACCTGATGGAGGAGGCAGCAGAGAAAGGTCTGAATGGAGCTATTTACAGCAACATGAAGTAGACTGGCAAGAGAGTGACAGGGAAGCCCAAACAGGTCATCCACAAAGCCAGATTCCAACCAAGGTAAAAATAAAATACAAAGAAGCTCTGCAAAGGCTGATCTGATCCACAAGCCATTTGTAGTCCTAAGCTGTGGCACCAAGGATCATTGCAGGCAGAGTAGCAGCAAAGTAGGAATGCAGTTTGGGAGGCAGACCTACTTACCTGCATAGAGGATCCTGCTACCAGCATGGAGTCCGATTCTGCCAGGCGTTGGTGTACAAAACGGACTTTTTCCTGGCTTACTGTGTCTCCAAAGAAGGTCACATCTGGCTTCAGGATTCCACCACATTTACGGCAGGCTGGGACTTGGAAATTGCGCACCTGCTCGTCGGTCAGGAAGACATCCCCATCTGGAGCCACACCAAACGCTTCAGCTTTCCAAGTAGGATTCAGAGCTTCAAAGTGCTCCTGGAGCTCAGAACGCAAGATTCGGTCTCCACAGGCCAAGCAGAAAACCCTGAAATTCAGAGCAAAGTCTTAATGGAGAGTTTCATGTCAGCTGAAGATCTGTAGACTCTAACTTGTTCCTTAGGAGGCCTGTCATGATTTTCCACATTTATTTACCAAATAGTACAGGTCAAGGAGATGTCTTTCTACTCTGTTGCTTTGTAGGAATGCTCTAGAGGAAGTGCTTTCAACCCTGCTATGCATCCTCTCTCCCAGTCTATGCTGTGCTTTTTCATCTAGAAATTTTAGGTGATCCCAGACAGGCTGTAATGGCCCTTCTCAAATACACACATCCTATGGTCCCCTCATTCTCTTTTCTAAGAGGACATTTACTGTACCAAGGAAAGGGGAAATGGATGCAGGTTTCAAGGAAATGGATCCAAATAATGCTCCAAAAAATGGAGTGGTGGTCGTGTTTCTTAAATACCATGCTGTGAACAGACACTGGCTTGTGATCTTTTTCTCTACCCTGGCCCAACACCACCTTTGTGCCTGTCATCTCCAGGAATGCAGTGTGGACATTTTGCCTCCTTTCTCAGCAGCTGACACTTCAGCTGCCTGTCAGTCACCACTGACAACCGCCCTGTGCCAGCAGCTGTACCTGTGTATGCAGCCGTGCAGCTCCGTCATGCGCTGGCTCCCAGCTTTGGTGTGAAGGGCATCCACGTTCTGGGTCACCAGCCAGTGCAGCTTGCCCAGCTTCTCCCAGTCTCTCAGTACCAGGTGTGCCTTGTTTGGCTGGTGGGAGGAGAACTGGGGCCAGCCCACGAAGTTCCTTGCCCAGTAGCGCTGCCGGGCACTGGCGCTGCGGATGAACTCGGCGTGCTGGACCGGCCGTCTGTCTGTCCTGGCATAGAGCCCAACGCCCTCGGAGCGGTAATCGGGGATCCCTGACTCTGTGGAGATTCCAGCTCCAGTCATTACAAACAGCCTCTTGGAGTTAGAAACAAAGTGCTGCAGCTCCTCCACTTCCGCAGGATCTGGGGGAAGACAGGCTGGCACGAAAGTCAGGTTTGGAGAGGCTCTGGATATAGAACGGGATCTGAAATGATGCAGTCTGACAGCCCTGAAAACGCCAGACCACTTCCTGGCAGAGAACATGTTCAGCTAAAAGGCAAGAACAGAACACATGGCAGGTAAAAGGAAGCAAAAAGCACATCCTTAATGCCATTTGCTTGTGATTCTCTGGGAAATTATGCTGTTAAGTGTTCTTTGCTCTCTTTTTAGTAAAGAAACCAATTATTTTGGAAACATTAACTAAAGCCCACCATCTAAGTATGTTCTTTTGGAAGAGGGGAACACTGAGCACGAAGTTAACAACTCTGACTTGCAGGGTTGCTGTTCTACCCTGGTGTGAAGGCTGGCTGCCTGAGAGGACTTGTAAAGAGCCCAGAAAGGCCTGTGCATGCAAAGTCTTTGCCAGGTATATGCAGCAGGCCAGAGAGGAAATGGCAGGAAAGCCAAGCACCTCACCCCAGAGGCACTGGCTAGTTCCTCCCCAGAGACCCTTGTTCTGCATTTTTAATTCTGCCTGCTCCAAATCAATCTTTTATATTTACCCCATTCTTACACATGTTGTAGGAAGGGAGAGAAAAACAGCCTTGAAATGTTTTTGGTTTTTTTTCCTGAACAAAGGCCTTGACTGAAGTTACTCCTGCGTGGGTGTTTTGGTTGGATTTTTGTTTTTGTTTTTTACAAAGACCTGGTGGAGAACAGGCCTTGAATGGGACTGAAGATGATTAGGGCACTGTCTAAATGCCTCTGACACCTTCTGTGGGTGCCACCTCCCCAGAGTCAGTGGGAAGTTGGATGGGCACTGCTTTGCTTCTCCAGCAGACACAGGGGCCTTCTGAGAGAGAAGGGATCATCCAAAGTGTTTGGGGCAGAAGGAACAGCCTGGCAGGTAGGAATGGGAAGGACACCCTGCCTTAAGGGAGGAATGACATGCCCTGCTGGGGACAGGCAGGATGGATGGCTTTGCTGATTAAATTGCCTGGAATTGTGTGCGGGACCTGTTGACATGAATGGATGGGTTTGGACTTTGATTTTGTTTGGGCTTTCCAGCAGTCTGCAGTTCTTTCTCCATTTCACTGTTTTAAAACTACTGGGCCTTGTACAAGATGTGGAAGACAGAGGAAGAACTTTATTTACTGATAAAAGGGGATGATCTCCTGAACACCTAAACTTTAGGGTATTTAAATATTGCTCCATTTACTGCAAGACCTAGTACTGGTGGGTAACTGAGGGCTTAGATACATCTGAAGTTTAGGTGTTGAGCTCCAAGCACTGTGATACCAAATTGTTGCCAGTAGCAAAGGGTAGATTTGGATCAGTTAACCTTCAGTTCTTAAAGCTTTTTGTCATCATCAGTTAAAATGCAGGGATGATTGGACAGACTCCATAGTCTGAATTGCTTTCTGTATCTAAACAGTGATTCTGTTTGCAATGATTTTTGCTTTGTTTTGCTGTTTAGCAGGAGTTGTGTTGGGCATTCCCTCTAAAGAGGTTTAATTTCCCACATGAATTAATTAGAAGGGACAAAGTGTCCCAATAAACTAATTTGCTTTGAGAGTAACTCGTGTCGTAATGCTCCCCAAAGGCTCTTAAGCCAGCTTGATGGTAATTAAATTGCTTTAACTGATGAAAACTCTTCATTCTTGCCCCTTATCATCAAAAGATCTCTCAGAAGGAAATGTTCAGAGGTAAAATGAAATAGAAATGTAATAGGGGTTGGCCCACAAGAGAGAGAAAGGAAAAATTACAGATACATTTAGATACATTTGAAAACTGCTGTGAACCAGGTAAAGACTATGGAAGAGAAAATGTTAAAGGATGGAATGTTTCTTGTCAAATACGAAGCTGCTTTTAAAATGAAAGAAAACCAACAACCAAAACACCTACTTTACATAACAAGTAAAACTCTTCAAACAAACCCACGGAGATCCGAGGCTAGAGTTTGTTTTTAGCACACACCCAAGATGCTCCACAGGAAAAGATCAGGCAAGGTTAAGGCAGAAGATAAACAGGATCCTACAAGCGGCTACAGGCCAGCAATCCAAAGGGACCCCCGCGCGTCTCCTGCGCTGGGCTAAGGGCGGGACGGGCGGCTGCTGGGAGCAGCGCCACCGGGAATAACTCACCTCCCATGCTGCTGCCGCCCGGCCGCGGAAGGACAGGCCGGCCTGCCGGAGCGGAGCCCTCTGGGAAATGGAGTTCGCGGGGAAAAAGAACAGAGACTACAACTCCCATGCGTCAAAGGAGGGCGGAGGAGCGGCGAAAGGTGATCCCAACAACACCTGAGACAATTTGGAAACGCTGAGGGCTTCATAGCAGCTCTCAAAGAAACGTGGGAGGTTAAAATCCGAATTCGTTTGATGCAAATGCGTGTGATAGCTTTGATAAAATGCATTGTAGATGCTTGTCCTTATAAAAGATGTGTTTTCTTTTAACTGATAATAACATGTTTTAGGCTTAAAATGTGACTAAATAAATTATGGAAGAAAAGTCCACTGAAGGCTGTCTAGCCTGGAAAATAGGGCAGTGCCAACGTGTCTGCTGCTAACTGTGCATCCTGGCAGGAGCCCATGTTTTTGCCTCTCTGCTTGGTGCAGGTTTCAGTCTCAATAATCACCTGATAATTTGTTTAATTTGCCTGGCAATAAGGAGTTTGCATTCTGTTTTGTGTTTGTTTTGGGTTTTTTTTCCTTCTTTTTTGTTTTGTTTTGTGTTTGTGATTGCTTTGGGTTTTTGTTTGTTTGTGGTTTTTTTTTTTTTTTTTTTTTTTTTTTTTTTTTTTTTTTTTTTTTTTTTTTTTTTTTTTTTCAAATGAGGCTAATATTTCTGAGGAACGAACAATATAGGGAAGGCCAGACTGCTGTATGGTTGCAGCCTGATGCACTGGATGCCCAGCTGTCTTATAGACAAAGGGCTCTTTCTAAAGATTTAGCTCTTGCTAAACAGTTCAAAACATTGCAGAAAGTTTTAATTTTTTTTTTTTTTTCTCTTACAGTTAATTCAAAGACCAGGTAAGCCTGAGTGTCTGTGTAGCAATGTGTAATTCTGGGATCACAAGGAAGAAGCGCATCCTGCTCGCTTGTCGTGCAGTGCCACCCTGCCTGTTCCTCTGCCCTGGGCTTAGGTGTGGAGTGCAGCCTTGTTTTGGGCAGCGTCGTAAGTCTAAACGACTTTGAGTGATTTACACTTTAGGAGTTTAAACGTGTCTTAAACTGTTGGGTGATGACTGCTTTGGTGGCACCCGGCAGACGCCGTTTCTCCCTGCCGCTCCTCGAGCGTGCCCCGCCTTGTTCCGCGCGCTCCCTCCCGGGCTGGAAAAGCGATTTGCGGCCAGTGCCCCCGGCTGGAGCAGCGCTCATTACCATAGTGCCCTCCCGGCAACCTCCGCGGGTCCCGGCGGTGCCACCGGCTCCCGCTCCATCCCTCCGTGGCCTCCCGGTGCATCCCCGGGCAGCGCAGGGCGGCGCGGGCGGCGGGCGGGGGCCGCGGGCGGGGGGCGGCGGCACCGACCGCACCCGCTCTGAGCGCGGCGGGGGCGCGGCGGCCGTGGGGCCGGCGGGGCGCGGGGTCAGGGCAGCCTTGCGCAGTGGCAGTATCGTAGCCGATGAGGGTATTCCGAGGCGCGATTATTGCTAATTGAAAACTTTTCCCAATACCTCGCCTTGACGACTTGAAATACAGTCGGCAATGGCAATTTTTGTGAGCCTCTTCGGAGGCGGATTCTGTGTGGTCAAAAGATAGACATGTGGAATTAAATAAGGGAGTGTGGAGCTGAGAATCTCGGTCTTAGTAGAAGTGGGGATCGCTCAGCACTTTGGTTACTCCAAGTGTAATTTCACTGCTCATTCCTCAGTCAGCACCTTTGAAACAAGCAGAGAACTGTTGATGTAAAAAGCGCTCAGTTTCTGAAGCCGTGTCTCCGGCTGGAGCAGGCGGCGGGGATGCTCGGCAAGGACCGGCGCTGGCGCCGCTCGGGGCTGGCGGGGGCTCACGGCCCGCGGTGCCCGGGCTCGGCCCGGCGGGGATGCGCGGAGGGCGCGCCCGTTCCGCGCGGGGCCGCCCGCGGTGACGTCACGCTTACTTTGCATATTCCCTCCCAGCAGCCCTCGCGGGTGTAACGGGGGCCCGGAACGGGGGGCAGAACGGGGCGCCCCGGTTCCGGCGGGGCGCGGAGGGCGCGGGGCGGGCGGGGGGCACAGCTGGGAGCGTGCAGGCGGGAGCGGGCGAGCGGGGGGACTCGCCGTGAGGCAGGCGGCGGCCCCGGGGCGAGTGCTGGCAGCGGCGGGTAAACCCGGTCAGCTTTGCGCAGTGGCAGTATCGTAGCCAATGAGGTTAATCCGAGGCGCGATTATTGCTAATTGAAAACTTTTCCCAATACCCCGCCATGACGACTTGAAATATAGTCGGCATTGGCAATTTTTGACAGTCTCTACGGAGACTGAATACTCTGGTGAAAAATAGACTAAAACTAGCTCAGGTGATTGTATTGTGCTGCGTGGTCTTTACCTGGCGGCGGGAGGGGGCTATCACGGAAGATAATACGGCTTCTCTTCTTTCAGCGCTGCCAGGGCTTGCTGCCGCTAAGACCGCGGTTTAATAAAATGAGGGCGCTCCTACGTTGAAAGCTCCTTTCTTTTTTTCTCAAAGTTACTGAAAAAGGAATCGGTCAGTGAAAATGGAAGTGGAGTGGCTTAGGTGTTGTAGAAAGATTTCTGGAGTAGCTCTTGCTGAGGAGAATCCTTAGGAGATTAGCCTCTCAACAGGCAGAGAGGAATCTAGGGGGAGTGAAAGTCTGAATCGTGCTTCCCCAACTGCAGGAGTCCTCTAAAACTCATTAGAGAACACTTAGTGTACTAAGTACTGTAAACTCCATTTTGTGTGCAGTTCTTTATTGACATCACTTGCTTTAAGAAAAAAAAATGCAATAGAAAAATGCTCCTTATTGTCAAAAAAATCACAAACCTTTGCTCTGGAAAAAGCAGCTGCTGGTGTCAACTCCTATTATATAAGTAAACTGCATCCTTTCCTAATTTGCAGCAATTGAATAGCTAGGCAGACCCTACGGAGGGAGACTAATGACCACTGCACACTGGCCTCGCTGAGGCTCCGCTGCAGCTGGGAGCAGCTGCTCTCCGTCACTCTGTGTGAGTGAGATGTACCTCCTGGTGCTGACAGCTTGCCTCTGACATTCTCTGTATGGGCACAGAACCAGATCCACGTGTGCCATCCCGATGCTCCTACCCTGCCGGTTAGACCTTGAGCTGGGCAGCTGCTTGAAACTTCGGTAGAACAGAAAGCTTAGTAGTGAACATCAGTCTCTTAAGAATGACTATTATTTTTTAAAATAACATTCAGTCATGCTGGGGTATTATACACAGCAGTGACCAAGAGTGACAGTGAAACCTCACAGATTGCCTTTGTCCCCCCCATTTGTTCCTATTGCCAGCAATATCAATTGAAATCAAACTCTGAAGCACAGGGATGCCATTACCCTTTGGCAGAATAAGCCACACTGGTAAATAGCAAAGGCATATGTAGTTTGCAGTGAGTCATACACTTCAGGTAATTTCTTGATTCTTATGAACTGTATTGATAAGTATTGGATTTATCACTTGGTTGTTTCTCATCTTTGCTGCCAGAATTGTCTGTGGTAATGCCTTGGTGTGGTGCTTTCAATCTGCATTGCAAAGTCACGTCCTACATCTTATGCCAGAAACCAAGCTTGTTCATTTTGCTGTAGCAGATCCTTTCAACAAACATGAAGTTGAACCTCGAATGTGGGAGTTGCATGCTGTGATTTACTGCTATTGCCTGAAGCCCAAAGCTCTGATTGAAAATTTTTTCCTTGCATTCACCTGAAGAAAGAGCAAAATCCCCTTGCATGATGTTCATGTGGCACAGCACAGAGGGCACACACTGCAATGAAGGCACTGTCATTGCTCTGCAGTTTCAAGCCACTCTCTGGAAAGTGCACAGGTAAGTTCTAAACATGCCTCACAGGCCAGTGTAGCTTTATTTCTCTTCTCTGACACAGATTGAAAATAACAATGCTTTTCTTCGCTGGTATTATGAAATGAGCTTGGATCACTCCTGTTTGGCAGCCAGTCTGAAATGACAGGGCCCAGGAGGACAGTTAATCCATCAACTCTGAGGGTCTTGTGTGTGGTCAGTGGGTTAAGCTGCCCTTTGAGGGACTTGGTCTGTAACTGGTAAATGACTCTTCAACAAGAGGGAAAGATGCCTTGAGCAAGTACTCTGGACACAGATTGTGTGGAGTTAGGAATACTCTGAACATGGATTGTGTGGAGACAGGAAGCCCTAAAGTTCAACATTTTGTTGATGTTAACTCACTGTCTAACTTCATTTCCAGTTCCCAGCCCTGTTTCCCATCTGCAAATGGGGGTGGTAACTTCTTGTTACACCTTATGTGAAAGACAAGGGTAGATCAAAATGTCTCAGCTACGGGGCACAGCATAAGAAGAAGGCCTGTGTATTTCTAGCAGCAAGCAGGTGTCCGTGAGTCAGGGAGAGTCTGAGCCAAAGAACGGGTAGATGATGGGGAAACAGGAGTTCAAGGCTTTGGGAAGGACAGAGCTTGAGCCCACAACACTGACAAGTCGCCTTGGCAGCTGGGGTTTTAACCTGCCCCTGCTCCCCCAGCTCTCATGGGAGGGTTAGGGACTGGCAATTTTAAGTAAGAAATATCAATGTGTGAATAATTCAGTTATAAACAGCACCTGGCTGTGAGCAGGTTGCTTTTAAAAGCAGGCTGTCTAGAGGATAGTATCACTCATGGGACAGCCCTGCCTTCCCACCCCACCAACACTTTCAGTGCAGTGCAGAAGCCATAGGCAAAGCTTTAGAAACAATGGAAACAATGACTTTTTTTTTTCTTTTTTTTTTTTTAACACTGACCATCTTAGACACAACCATTTCTTGTGGGAGCAACCCTAACTGGTTCTGTGACAACTTAATTCCAGCCCTGAGACACAATAGAAACTGCTTTCTTGATTTACATTCACTTCCAGACTCCCAAAGGACACAGTAGGAAGCTGAAAATAAAAATGGCATACCAGGCTACAATATGAACAGAGCACAGTAGGCACTTTATTTATGCAGAGGTAAAAATACAACCCAACTTGTGGCACATGCTTGTCACATGTTGGTGGAGGAAACATACAGACCCCAGGAAAGGACTCGTTTCTAATGACTTTAGATCTGCTCTGTGACCAGTCAGCGCTAGTGGTTCATGTTGCTCCACCTGGGGATGCACATCCTGATGTTGTCATTGTATAGCCAGTGATGGATTTTGAGAAAATTTTAACAGTCCCTCCAAATAATGTTTTACATTTTGCTGAGGGAGACCAGCAAGGGGGATGTCAGGTGAAATCTTTGGCATGGATGGTGAAGCATGCAATGAAATCTTTACTTACATTTGTGTTGTACTTAGATCTCAGTAAGGACATTATTTTCTGACAACTGTATTTGGAGTAAAAGCTGGAATTAATTTCTTGGAGGTTTTTGACTATTCATAAGCATTGGCTGGGATGAGGGAGGAGATATTTCCCTGCCCCCCTAACGATAATTCCCATTAAAGCATGACTTAACACAGGAAATAATGATGTCTGACTTGTGCTAGCAGGGGAAACTGGGCATGTTTGTACCTAGAGAGTGAAAAATGCAGCACTGGAGATTGCTCACAGCTGACCTCACGGTCTCTGTTTAATGGAAATACAATTCCGTAATCTCAGCTCAACAACAGGACATGTGCTGTTCAGTTCTGGGAACATTTTCTGACTCGGTAGTAATTTTGTAAGGAAAAGAGCTACAAGAGTCATGTTTCCTGGATCCTCGGCAGTTCCCACACTGATATTTTTTGGTGTATCTCTCATCAGATTAAGAAGTGGACATTTGGGCTGAGCAACTGCATTTACTGCCATGTCAACTTGGCTGGAGCACTGTGGGAAACAGTAGCTCTGGTGAGGGTTGAGCTGTGCTGCGGCTCAGACAAAGCGAGGACTTTGCTGCCTTGGAGTTGTTTTATAGAGGCTTGAAAGGAAAAACACGTGGGAAATGATGGTTCAAGGTCACCACATGAGAAATCCAGGAGGGCTCTTATAGTCTTTGAACACAGCAAAAGAGAAGTAGCTGGTGACTTTCCTTTATGGTGGCCACAGCGTATGGAAAATTGCTCAGGAAAGGTTTCTGCCGCCCAGCTTCCCTGGGATGGGGTAATTCAGCTGAGGCTCTGAAATGTTTGAAGGTTTTGGGGCACAACTCTCCCGCACCACCCAGCCAGCCCAGCGCGGCTGCATCGCTGCCCCGGGACATTCCTCTGGGGAAGGTCCTGCTCCTGCAGGGAGCAGCGCGGGGCTCGTGTGGCGTTCGCGCTCAGTCTCGGACGCGCGTGGGGCCGCCGGCGAGCGGGGCAGGCCTCTCCGGGGCAGGCCTCTCCGGGGCAGGCCTCTCCGGGGCAGGCCTCTCCGGGGCACACGCCGGGCGGCGGCTCCGGGCGCTGCCGCCCCGCCCGGCGCTTCGCGGGGCCCCGAGCCCGCGCCCGCTCCGCGCCGGGCCGGCGGCTCCCGCGGCGGCCGGCAGGGGGCGGCGCGCAGCGCGCGCAGCGGGGGCGCGCGGGCGGGCGCGCGCGGGGGCGGGCCGGGAAAGTTGCGGGCTCTGAGGCGGCGGCGGCACCGCGGGGCGGGAGCGGCTCCGGCGCGGCGGCAGCGGCGGCACCGGGCACGACGGCACCATGGACGACTTGGGTGAGTTCCGAGCCGCGCGGGCTCCCCCGCGGCGGGGGCCGCCTCCCCGCCGCGCCCCGGGCGGCGGCGGCCGCGGCCCGCCGGCCACGCTGCGCCCCTCGGCGCCGCGGGGCTCGGGCCGCGCCTGTCGGCGTCCGGGGACGTGTCGCTCCCCGCGCAGCGCGCCGGCCGGCCCGGCTCCCCGCGCCCGGGCCCCGCGGCTGGGCTGTCCCGGGGCCGCCGCAGCCAGGGCAGGCGGTGGCTGTCCCGGCCGGGAAGGGCGCCCGGCGCTCCTGTGCCCGGAGCAGCGTGGGGCGTACTCGGGTTTCAGCAAACATCTCCTCCCTGCCCCGCCGCAGCCTCTCCAGCCTGTTCTTGGGCGAGATCTGAACTTTGCGCGGGTATGGAGTGGGGAGCCCTGCGGGGATAAGCGGAGCCCAGCCGCGCTTGGAGCTCATCCTCGTCCTCCCTCTGCTTCTCCCAGGTGTGCTGCATTATACGGTTTCCCGAAACCATGTAATGGAGAAATGTCAGGCAACTGGTCTCAAGGGAAGGATCTAGAGAATTTGAGTCCTTTGGGACCAAGCCGGAAAGGGTGTGGATCTGCCAAAATCCCTTGTGCTCTGGGAGGCATTAGGACGACTGAGTTCCGCTTATGAAACCGATTAAATCAGACACTGGGGAGGGGCTGTGATCCGTTACTTCCATCCTACCTTTAATAGAAACCAGACGTTCTGTTGACATATAGTCCCAAGAAAATTGCAGGTTTATTTCTGGACCTGGAAGCTCATACTACGGTGATGGCATAAAGCTGGTGGTCACACCTTCAGAAAATAGACTTTGAATTGGGCTAATGATAAAACTTAGAGGGTAAGGAGTCCATCTGCTGCGTGGCTTTCTGGTGAAAGGTGTGCCCATGGAGGATTCATCCTTGGGGAGTGAGACCTTCTGCTTGAGTGAAGTAGCTCTTGGTGGGAACAGAAGTAATTTCTACTGCAGCTTCTTTTCATGGTTATTGTTCAAGTGGAGACAGCTCTGTTTACCTTTTCTCATATCCCTCATTCTGGTTATCTCTTGGAGATTTGGTGCGAGTTCCTAGCATGTTCAGGAATGCACTGCTAGTCAGAACAGGATTCACCCAGTCTGTGTATTGACTTGATGGGTAGCCCTTCAAGGTGAGCATACAGGTCAGTGTAGAGCCAGTTTAGTGTCTCACCATCAGTAAACCATGGGAGCCTCACTGTGCCCACTGCAAGAGCTGCATTCCTAAACGTGGTAGTGTGACTTTCCAGCTGTTGGAATAGGCTGCTGCAGTCCCTTAACATTTTTTCTTTCCTCTGTAGGAGAATTAGAGGTGAACTGCTAAGAAATTGTGAAAAAGATCTGAAATTGTGCCTGGTTTGTTTTTCTGAGCTCTGAAGAGTATTTGGACAACCAAAAGTTAGACCTTCTAATCTGAGCAACTTGATTTCATCAAGTCTTAATTACACTGCGTCTGTCTCAATTTTTGTGCAGCCTTTCAGACTGGACAAGATCTAATTAACAGTAGGCAGCTGAACAAAAAAGTGTGACCTTTTCTCTCTCTAAGCTTTTCTGTGGTGTACAGAATTCACCATGGAAAAGCACACCAGCTGTTTTTCCTCTGCAAATCATTGTTAGCCCCAAAATGGCTCACTTACTGCTCTAAAGTCATTCACCTTGGGATCACACATAATGGAACTGTGCTGTGCTGATACAACTCCCCTGAAATAAGTCAGACTTTCGAACTCAAGTGAGAGTTGTTTGTTTTTCTTTCCTCATTATCTATGGGTGGATTATCTGAGTTGTGGATTAACTGTGCCATGGATACAGACGTCTGCACTGGCCCTGTCCAGAGTCAAGCTGGTTAGGCAGGACTTGTTGGTTCAGGCACACTGCCATGTGGGCAAAGCTGCTCTGCTTCCAGGGACAGTTTTGGCCCAAAAGGAGTTTGATATTGAGCTGGGACTTGTAGGTGCAGAGTTGATGTCAAGTTAAATCAGCTCAGATACTTCCATACCTCGCTTCTGAATCTGTGTGGCACAGAAATGAGCAGTGAGTGAAGGGCCTTGCTGGGCATGAGTGAACCCCTAACAGAGACCATTGGTGTGTCTGTTCTTAACTCCTTGCTGTTGTCAAAAATCTCCTTCTTTTTCCTAGAGCTGGAGGATTTGATCAGTCTGTACATGTCCAATGTAAAATGGAGGTCCAGAAGTATCTCAGTTTTGTTCTTGGACCGGAGAGTTTATGAAACATATGAGAATGGATTTGTCTTGCTTTGAGGATTCATTTGGAGTTGAGAAAAATCTTTGTTCCCTTTTTACCCCCTCCCCCAGTGTTGAAGAAGCTCCCACAGGAAACTTTCTGCAGGCTGGAGCTGTGCACCCTGTTGTTCTGGAGGAGCCTCTGTGGCACAGGACACACAGTGCTGGGCTGGATGTAAACTAGAACAGCCCGTGGTGGGAAGGGGGAGGAGAGCAGCTGGCCAGGCTTGTCCAGATCGTCTCCCTGCAGCCTCTCTGAGGAAGCACATTTTGCGGATGTGCTTGGAGTTTGACAGGAAGTTTGCTGAATGAATTTGCTGTCCTGCAGTGCTGTAAATTGGCACAGCTTTGTCCTAAAGAGTGAGAACCCAGATTTGGGGCTCTTGTCCCTTTCAGGGGATTGCCAAAGCACAGCCTGTGCTTCCAGCACACAAGTGATCATCCACACATACTTGCTTCAGACAAGCTGAGGCACTGAGATGTTGGGTTACTGGTTTGGTGGTGCTACCTTGTCTAAGTAGTATGAAGGAACAGATCCATTAGGATTTGCTTGTTGCAGAGGAAGAAACCTAATTTGTGTAAACTGTTATGTATTTATGGTGACAGGAGTAGGAGAAGAGAAACTTTACATTTGCTTTAGTCAGAATACTGTTTGATTTTGACACCAAAGGTTTTTTACTGCCTTTTTCTGGAAGGGTTATTTGCAAATACTACTGGGAAACCTTTTCGTAACTCCAGACAGAAATGGTGTGGCATTTAGAAGCTTTCATTTGATGAAATTCTCACTTATCTACTGCTATTAAATTTTTTTTTGTTTGTTTGTTTTCAAAGGCTTCAGATGTTTTTAAACTGGATTTTTCAATTGAAAACAAAACAGCATTCACTGGAACTTGTAAAAGGTGTTTTACAAAGAAGCTATATCTGTTTAATGGGGACGTATTTATGGCAGTGTTTTGTCTGTCCACGTCAAACTAGATTGTGAGCTGCTTTTTTTAGGTGTGCTTGCTCACTTCTAGAAGGATTTTTCCTTTGCATAAGGTTTTTCTAGCAATGTGACTTCAAAATCCTGAGTGCATAGTTCAAGGGCACAAGAGATTTTGCTTTATTAGTTGTTTTCCTCTGTTTTAGGAACTCTAATCCACTCTCTCTTCAGTGCTTAATCCTCTCAAGATTGACTTTAAAGGGAGCAATCTTGCTATTGATTTTTCATGGGAGTGTGGAGGGAGGTGCATGTGTTTCCATCTGTCATCTGTCCTAACATTTGGAAGATTGCTGTGCTCTGCAGGGCGGTGCTGTCTGTCCCTTTCCAGAGGGGGATGCTTGCCTGTTTCTGACTCAGTTCCTTTAGTCTGGGAGTCATATGCTGTGGGATTTAGGCTCACTTGATTTAAGAGTTTGCTGTGAAATTGCTTATGGTCAGCTACGCCCAGGAAATGGTATTGGGGGGAAGCACTGGTAAAGTAATTTGGTGCCTTGGTTTTCTACTGGCTCAGATTTCGGAGTCCTTCCTGCTGCTGGGCGAGAAGACTGTAAACAGAACGAATGCTCTGCACAATGGGGTTCTGACTTGTTTCAGCTCCTTAGCTGTTGTGACCCCTCGTAAAACAGGGACTTCATTGTCCTGAGCAACTCAGACAAGGAGTCCTCTGCCTCAAGCAGTGTGGATGCAGAGAGAGGCTTCTTTTCTTGTTGCTCTATTTCCACGGAAAGGCTGGGCTCTGTGCTGTCTTTAGCTCCTTTGTCCCTCGCTGGGAGAGGTCAACTTATCCTAAGTGTTCAGCTGCCCTCCTGGTTAAAACTGATCCTCCGACACCATCTCTGCCACTGGAGAAACAAATGGGAAACTTCTCATACATCTTCATCGCTCTCTCGCTCCCCTTTTTCTTTCTTTCTTAGGGAATCACGATACTTCAGTTTCTCTGGACCCCTTTTTCCTCACCTCTTGCCCTTTGAAGTCTATCTATTATATGAAACAAGTTGTGAAACTGTAGAAATGACAGCTAAAATTTTAAAGTCTGGCAGCAGGACAAGGACTAATAATGCACTTCTATGTAGATCATCTGCTGTTCAGACAGATAAATCCCTTATACTAAAACGCTGTAACTAGAGGGGTGAAAAGCCTGTCCATGGTGACAAAACAAATCTGTTTGACTCAAACTAATGTGTTAGTTGTGATACCCAGAATCTGATGCAGCTTTGGAGACAGCCAGAGCAGATTCTAAGTGCAGTTGTATGTCCTAATGGAAAATCAGTGTGAGCGAATAGGATCTCTGGTCCCAGTTTCCTGCTCTGGTCTCAGCCTATGCTTCCTTCTTTGTGTACTGATCCTGTGTGTCCCTTTTTGTCTGATGCGGAAGCTGTTAATGAAGATGCTCTTCTGCTCCAGCTGCATGAAAGTGAGACATTGTCTGTGGGAAGCTTTCTCACACTATGATAAAGCCTGTCCTAACTAACTGAGGTTTAGTAACAAACCCTGGGAGTACAGGTCATCATGACTATTAAGATATTGCATTTTAAAATGTTAAGTAGGGAACTGTCTCACCTGTGGCAGGATTACTACATCCAGTAGTGCAGGGTAGAAGCAAGAAGTGGCACCATTGCTTTCCACTTTGGTTGAAGTTGAATGGGTTAGAGAAAAAGTTGTGATATCAAATTGGTTTCACTTGATTTAAGTGCTGGCTGCTGAGGTGTTCCCTGTGGCCATCTCCCTTGCTTGTGTCCACAATAACTGTTGGACAG